TCTCATGGAAACAAGCTTCATAGTGCTTCACTCTGCTTTGGAACTTTCCCCAATTCTGAGATCCGCTTACTTCTGAGTCCAGAAACTCCAATTCACTCATTATTTGCTAAAAATGCACGGTTCGACCTGAAACATAAAATATATAGAATTAAGTAGCAATTCAGGCATAAACGAACTAAGAAGTATCTAAAATCCGGCCAAAAAGCCTAAATAAAATAGTATAATTCTCGAATTATCAGGTACCTACTCCAACTTGCACTAGCGCTTCTTCTACCATCTATAAAGAACATGAGAAAATTCAAAAGGTCATGCAATTTTTTATGGGATTGAATGAAGGATATGTCGCTATTCACAGTTCTACTCTTTTAATGAATCCTTTGCCTTTGATGAATATGGTTGGTATGCTCATTCAGGAAGAAAAACAGAGGGAATCACCCATTCTGCCCAAACTTAGTCTGATGTTGCGGCTTTTCTTTCTTAAAACACTATCACCCATTCATCTAATATAGGCAATAGAGATAATCTTTTTAAGAAGAAAATGATGCAATGTGATTTCTGTCATTTGAAGAACCGCACAATTGATTTTTGCTAGAAGCTTCATAGCTATCTTGATAATCAACGAAGGAACATGAATAAGAAAACCAATAAATCACCCACAACTCATAATATTGTCTACACATCAGAGGAGCAATCTTCAATTTCACCTCAACCTTCACAACCTTTTGCAACTGTCAGTAACTCAATCTTCTCTCCTACACAATATCAAGATATTTTGCAGCTCTTTGGGAAAGATGGATCTCCTATCATTGCGAATGTTGTGCAAGGTACTGATATCTCAACCAATGTTGCAGGTACTTCTGTTTCTCTTATGGCCTCTGTCTTGAGTAATGCTTGGATCTTAGATAACGGGACTAATTAACATATATATGACGTTTGATTTCCATTGCTTGAATAATGTTAAATCATATGATTTCTTCCATACATCATAATGTTCGATTGCCAAATGGTTTATCTGCTTTGGTCACTCATACTAGTGATGTTTGTCTATCTCCAAATCTTATGTTACATAGAGTCCTTTTTATACCATAATTTAAATACAATCTGTTATCCATCTCTAAGTTTTGTAAAGATAACAATGTCCATGTCATTTTTTCCCCAAAATTTTGTCTATTTCAAGACTTATGGAATGGGTTGACAATGGCGATTGGTAAAGAGCACCATGGGTTGTACTATCTGATGAAAGAACAAAGTTTTAGCCTGTTTTCATCTTTCAATAAAACCATTACTGCATATAATTATGTTTCTAGTGTAATATGGCATCATAGACCAGGTCATGCTTCTGTAGGTTGAAACCAATTTCTTCTTTACATGACCTGTTTGTCAAATATCCTATTTCATATTGTAAAACTTGCCCTTTGGCTAAGCAATGTAGACAAGTTTTTCCTACTAGCATTTCTTCTACTAGTTACATTTTTTATTTAGTTCATATTGATAGATGAAGTCCTTAAAACATTCCACTTATAATGGCTTTAAATATTTTTTAACTCTTATGGATGATCATTCTTGTGCCACATGGACATATTTGATGACTGTTAAATCTGAAACATTTCTTATTTTCAAGAAATTTGTCTTCATGATTAGTAATCAATTTGGTGTTACCATCAAAAGAATCAAGACAAACAATGGTATTGATTTTTTTAGCAATGATTTTACAACTTTTCTCAATTCACATGGAATCATTCATGAAAGTTCTTGCCCTTATACCCCTCAACAAAATGACATTGTAGAGAGAAAGCATAGACACATCCTTAATATAGCTATAACATCAAAATTTCAATCTCACATACCTACCATTTTTTGGGGAGAATGTATCTTGGCCTCTACTTATATTCTCAATCGACTTCCTAACTCCAATCACCCTTTTAAATATTATACCACAAACCTCCACATATTTCACACCTTCAAGTATTTGGCTATCTGTGTTATGCAAGCCTTTTGCTAGATGAAGTATTTCTATTGTGAGAAGTTGTTGGCGTACAATGTGACTTATGAAACTTCATCTATGCAGAAGCATTTATCAAGTTGTAAGAAATACCCCCCACAATGCTGATAAAAGTAGGACAACTCTCTCATCTTTTAGAAGCACAAGCAAATAAGATAACAAGGAATGAACTTGGAGATTTAGTCAAGGGTTCTCTAGGCAATTGCTTGCTGAGATGATAACTAATGATGAAGAACCATTTACAAAGGTGGAGAGGCTAGGTTTTAGGAAATATGTAAGTTCATTGCAACCTTTATGGAAGCATATATCCTGTTATACAGTGGCTAGGGATTGTTTGAAGATTTACAATTGTCAGAAGATTTCATTGAAAAAACAGTTAAGTTCTCTGAAGTTTAGGATTGCTCTAATGACTTATATATGGACTTCCATTTAGAACTATAGCTATTTATGCCTCATTGCTCACTTTATAAATGAGAACTGGGAGTTACGTAAGAGGATTCTGAGTTTTGTGACCATTAGTAGTCACAAAGGTAGGGAGATAGGGAAAATGGAAGAGAAATGCATTCTTGAATGGGGTATTGATGATCATGTGTCCACTTTAACGATGGATAATGCTAGTGCTAATGATGTGGCAATCAATTACTTGAAGGATAGATTGGTGGATAGGAATGTCTTAATTATGGATGGTCAGTATTTTCATATGAGATGCATTGCTCATATTATGAATCTGATTGTGAGGGATGGTCTTAGTGAGGTAAAGGATAATATTAGTCGTATCCGTAGTTTAGTTAAGTATATGAAGTATTCTCCTGGTAGAGCCCTAGCATTTGAAAGATGTGTGAAAGAGGAAAGAATAACTTATAAAGGTGGTGTGTGTCTAGATGTGGCCACTAGATGGAACTCCACTTATCTCATGTTAGATATTGCAATAAAATTCAGGAAAGCTTTTTAGAGGTTGGAAGATGAGGACCCCAACTTAGCTATTGATTTGTCACATGAAACTCTTTCATCTGACAATTAGGAAAAAGCAACTATGTTTGCCAAATTCTTGGAAATGTTTTACAAAGCTACTAAAAGGATGTCGGGGACGAAATATGTAACTTCTAACAATTATTTTAATGAGATAGTTTCCACTGTCTTTACTTTGAATGATTGGGAGAACGACCCTAATCCTTGTCTTCACAACATGTTTAAGAAAACGAGAGAGAAGTTTGACAAGTATTATGAGAGTCTTGACAAAGCCAATGTGATAATGCTGATTGCAATGATATTAGATCCTCGGTATAAGATGATATATGTGAGCTGGTGCTATAAAAAGATTTATGCTAATGACTTGGAAAAAGCTGAAATGATGACTGCAATTTTGAGAGATGTATTAGAACGATTGTTTGGATTTTATGACCGACTTGCCTCAAGTGTAGAACAAGGTCAAGCTTCTAGTTCCTTTCCACCAATGGGAACTAATCAATCTTCAGATGGTGTTGTTGCTTCTAATGGTACAGTTAAGTATCACCTTATCAATGACGCATTTTTGGAGGAGATGGATATAGGGGTACTTGATGTTAACAACTCAGAGTTAGAGCGGTACCTTGAGGAGAAACATGAACCCTTGAAGTGTGAGTTGAGTATCTTGGATTGTTGGAAAGCAAATAAAGGAAAGTATAAGGTTCTCTAGCATATGACAAGAGATGTCTTTTGCAATTTTAGTGTTTACAATTGCTTTCGAGTCAACTTTCAATACATCGGGTTGTGTACTTGGTCAATTTCAGAGTTTTTTTATCTCTAGGTGTTGTACAAGTGTTAATTTGTATACAAGATTTGTTAAGATGTGCACCCACACCTATTTCTTTTGAAGATTGCTTGGTGGATGCAAAGACTTATGATTTAGGTAACTTATTAATATCAATGTCTTATATTTTCATTTAGTTAATGTGGTTTTATTCTATTTTTTAACATACTAAATTACTAATTGATTAATTGACTTCTTTTTTTCTTTTCTTTTTTGTAGTTGCTATTACCACTGCAAATTTTGGGGATGAAACTTGATATGTTATCATATTGTTGTACTTGTGTTATTTAAAATGTTATGTAATTTTAATTTTGGGAGGATGAAAATTGATATGTTATTAACTTATTATGTGATGTTATTGTGTTATTTAATGTTTTATGTCATTTAAATTTTGGGAGGACGAAACTTGATAGTTTATATGTTATTATGTTGTTGTACTTGTGTTATTTAAAGTTTTAAAGTGTTATGTAATTTTAATTTTGGGAGGTTGAAATGGATATTGAAATAGTTGTAATTTTTGTAAAGTTTGTAGTGTGTATTTGTCATTTAAAAAAACTTTAGGGGGATCATGTAATTTTATAAGGGTTTATTTATTATTATTTTTAAAATGGGGGTAATTGATATTTTTTCGGATACTCAGAACCGAAACCGAAACCTGTAACAAGTTTTGATTCCAAGTTTTTAGAAACCGGAATCATCGGTTCTGATTCTGGTTCCAAATCAAAGGAATTGGTCGGTTCTTGTTCCTCCAAAAAAAGGATAGGTACCCAAAACTGTCCACCCCTGGATAAAGCATCAATCTCATTAATTTTTTTTAATTTGTTTTTATTAAATTTAATATTAATACATAAAAATTTTAAAGAATGCGCCAATTGAGTTGACCAAGATTTAAAATTTCCAGCATGCTCCCTTGACTGAGGGAACATACCGTGGGTTAAGCTGTGTTGGGGGAGCATACCGAGGCTCAACCTCACAGCCCTTGATTGTCCCTATCTTAAAGACAATCTATTGAATTCGCTTGATAAATATACACCAGTTTGCATGCACCCACAATTTAGTACTTATTATCAATTCTTCGGTTTCATAATAATACATAGGAAGTCTTGAAACACAACAAACGAGTGAATTTGAGAATAATAATACATCGGATGACACAAAAAAGCAGTGCACATTCATTGCGTATAACCAGGACATGCCCACGTAGTTTTGTTAGTTACGATGATGGAGAGCCTCCTTAATCAATCTATTAAAATTATTATAAGATTTCCCTCCAATATCTGTTGTTGCTTCTGCTTTCTGTTTCCAATCTTGAGCCTTTTGCCTCATTTGCTTTCCTTTATCTCCTTGCATCATTTCTTTAACAAGAGCCTCAATGTCATCACGCTTTACATCTTCATTGACTTCCATTCCAATGCCCCAAGTTGTGCAAGCATAGCGACAATTCGTTTGTTGGTCAGCGAAGAAAGGCCAACAAATCACAGGCACGCCGACACATACGCTTTCTACTGTAGAATTCCACCCACAATGTGTTAGAAAAACACCAACTGATGGGTGTGTGAGCACCTGTTCTTGAGAACACCAACTTGCTATAAGTCCTCTATCTTTGATCTCTTCAAAATATTCTTCAGGTAAAACAGCAGAATCACCCATCACCACATCCGGCCTAACAATCCATAAAAATGGGTGCTTACTATTTGCCAGACCCCATGCGAATTCTTTCAAGTGTTGGTCAGTCATCACAGTCACGCTACCATAATTAACGTATACAACTGAATTTGGTTCCCTTTTGTCAAGCCATTTAAGACATTCCGAGTCTTCCTTCCACAAGCTTGATGTAAATGACTTGAAACTGCTATCAGGGACGTGCCTACAGAGCAGGGGAAGTGGACCTATTGTGTAAATGTTGGGGAATTTGGAGGTAATAGCCTCTAATACTTCTTGTTCAAACTCATCAAAAGTGTTGAATATAATTGCAGAAGATTTTAAACAGTTTTGTGCTTCTGATCCCCCTGAAACGGACAAGTCTCGTTTTGAGATCAGTGTTTCTGGCAAAACTTGGCAAGTCCTTGAACCGAACGTTGCTCATTCCAGGTACCCAATCAATATGTGTTTCTAGAGTGCCATCACTAAGGAATCTTTCATCTGAATTACAATCATTTTGAAATGATGGGTCAGATATTTGTAGGCCATAAATTGTTAAGTAGTAAAATGAGGTACATAAAGTTATATGACCGGGAAACCAATTAATCCCCAGAATCAAAGAAACTTGCGTTTTAGATACCAGCATAACAGAGCCTATCAGATATTATTATGCATCAGATTTTGAAAGTTATAATGACATAATAATTTTAACATCTGTAGAAGTAACAACTATATGATTATATGACTAAATTGAAATGAAATCTAATTCGCAATGACATGATTTTTATATATGACCCTCTTTTTAAATCTTATTGTCTCCTTTCTTTTGCAAAGAAAAGTGATATTTGGTGTTAGCAAACCAAATCCTAGTTCTTCCCTTACTGATCCAACAAAAGTATTAATATTTACATGAACAAGTTATGAGAAAAATTGTAGATATCTTAAATGAAACACACTTTGAATGGAACTATGCCTCTTTTGATAATTCAGTAAACTGCAATATCCCATGAAGCCCAGGCGAGGCTGTCCAAAACTGAATCTCCGGTATAACCAAATAGTTCCCCGGCCTTAATAGCAAAGCTCATGCTCCATCCGAAATTATGCCAGTAACTGGGGGAACTTCTGCTGATGAATTTAACTTAGAAACAGCTCTAAAAATGGAGCCAAGCAATTCTTTCGTGTAGAATCACACAAACCCGGAACATATTGAGTTGCATCACGATCAGAAGGTGGCAGTCCGTCTGGTATGGTTTCAAACCGGAAATCGGGTAAGCCTTTACGGAGTCCGGACCCTTGGAGCGGATTAAACGTCTGTGATTTATCAGTGTTGACAAAGGTTATATGAAAACCTCTTGAGTGAAAAAGTTTGGCTAGTTGCATCATGGAGTAACATGGCCTTGAGATGGATATGGAACACAGACTAGATGGTTTTTGTTTCTTGGTTTGGTTCCATCTTTATCGAATCACGCAATTCTCGTATGGATTCAATATCGAGAATTATGGAGACTTAAGTAGCTGATTTGATTAATTCATTTGTTTGTTGATTCAACATCAGAGTATCAATAATTTTATATTTAGTAGTTTAGACGTCAGTTTATACACAACTAACTACAGTATGTTGAGTATTTCTAGGTCGCTACCCCATCATATGGGAAATCGGTGTAGTCGGGTTATGTAATTTGTTCCCTTTTAACAAAATATATGTCTTATTACATTTTTATCTCTATATTTATAATTTCCATTATAGATAATTTGTAATTGTAACATGCTTATAGAACAAATGGAACTGTAAAAACACATGCTTAGTTTCAGAACTCTTTTTTATCCTATATGATAGACTTCAATTGAGAATTTTGTTTTTCATAATATAATCTTTTTCTTATTTCGGAACGAGAAAATAGATATCTTCTTGTGTAAATTTTGATCATTATTATCAAATAATTTATTTACTTGTTGGAATTATTATACTATGGTTATGATAGTTGAATACATAATAAATAGTACTATTTAGTGTTGTTAATAATTTGATGAAAGGAAATAAACAAAATATCCTAGTTTATAAGATTGTTGATCATAACAGCAACTCTAATATATTTTTTTTTTCTAATATCCAAAGATTCTTCTAATTCTCTTTCCTCTTCACTACCCACCTCTAAGTTTGTCCATATATGAAAATTTAGAGGAATAGAGACAGGTGTGTTGACTAGATTAAATGAAATTATATATATATATATATAGGATTTATCATTCTTTCAATCGGTAATGCTTTGAAGTTATATAAGATTTCCACATTTGGAAACAAGATAAGCATGATCTGCCTTTAGTGGCTGTGTGTGATGGATTTATTGGGTTGCTAATCATAGCGCCGCCATCAATCATCTCAGGAGTGTTTCGAAAATATGCGGATCTCTTTTTTTCTCGCGAGGTGAAGACAAACAGTGATAGTTTGAATTTAGCAAGTAAACCAAGTTGGTTAAAATAAATACGTGGTTGATGTAGAACCAAGTGAACCATGTCATGTTTAGCTAAGCTCGTTCAATTTGTCAGCGTAGTGGAGCTGCCATGCCGTTTGGGACACTGCCTGCCAAAGTACCTGGAATTAGGTGTCCATATATTATATTTTTACATTTTATGTCCTCATCATAAAATTAAGAATTATTGTGGTACTAGAGTCTTGGTTGGTTACGACATTGTGGGCAAGGAAATTTCAGTGCCTGTAGTTTTTCCAACTACAGGTAAGGACAGCTTTTTCCAAAGATAAAAAATTCTTCCTTGAAGTTGACGAATGTTGAAGATTTTGGGTCATCTCAACAAATCTTCAGTGTACAGACATAAACACCCTCCGGGCTTCCTTCCATCATAATTAGAATAGAATTAATAACAAATATAATAGTAATATTAACATCAAGAGCAATATATTAACAATACAAAGTAGAAATAGATACAATACTAATATCATTTAGGGATATAGAAAGGTCAATTGAAACACAATTTCTAAACAGCGATTTCTTTTGTGGGTGGGATAGAGTTCCTCAATATTACTAATTTTTACTATTTTTTTTTTTTTGGGTAAAATTCCAATCTCCCTCTCCAGCAAACCAGAGATTCTACATCCTCTCACTTATTGACTATGTTTGGCTTAGTATTTTTATCCATATTCTGGATTCTATTCTCCAAATAATGTTTGGCACATTATTCTAGAAATATTACCCTAATTTTTTTAATTACTTTTAGACCCCATAAGGTTATTAATTTCACTAAATACCCCCTGAAAAAAGTTTAAAAATTAACAAAAATACCCCCATCAACCTAACTTGTCAGATTCAGGCAACCACCGTCGGTGATAGCCGGAATTTGTAGAACGGCCTAACTTTCGACCAGAAATGATCGGAAGTTCACCGATCTGGCATTTTCCGGCCAGATCCAACGGTCAAAGAAATGGCCATCGTTGACGGTCAACGAAGGCCAAATCTTGGCCGTCGTTAACCGAAAACGACGGCCACATCTTTGGCCGTCGCTGACGGCCAAAGATGGCCGTCGTTTGGCCTTTTTCGACCGTCGACGGCCATAACAGACAGTAGATCTGGCCTTTTCCGGTTAGATCCGTGGTAGATCTGGCCGGAAAAGGCCATAACGACGTGTTACGGCACAGATCCGACCGATCTGTGCCATAACGAAATTTTTCGGCCAGATTCCGACGGTGGTGGCCGGAATCTGGCACGAAAAATTCTGGGGGTGTTTTTGTCATTTTACATATTAGGGTCTTTAATTAAATTAGTAAACCTAAGGGCTTTTTCATAAATTTTTAAAATTTACCTCGTAATACTCCTCTATCCAACAACCCAATACTATCCCTAAAATCTTATCCAAAATAATAAATCAAACGCACCCATTATTATTATTTTCCATTTGCCTTGACTTTTACGAGGTCTTTGCATTTATTGGATACTTAAAACAAGTACACGTCAAAGTTTAGCGAAATTTTAAATTAACACAAAATCTTTAAGTTAAATTTAAAAAATAACTCAAATCCAATTTACGGCAATCAAAAGGTAGCCTTTTTTGAATAATAAGAGAAATAAACAAAACAATTGAAAAGTACAATATTACTTCATATTACCATATTTGTGTGTTCTTTATAGTCATAACAGTGGAATCAAACTAATATATTACTATAAAGAGATTATAACTTAATAGAGGTAGAGTTACAAAAATTATTGTTTTAATTTCTTATTTTATAATTCACGTTTTAATAGTATGTATTAAGATTTTAATTCATTGTTTTAGTAGTATTATGATTTCTTATTTACTTTTAATATTACTTTATTTCTTATTTTATAATTTATGTTTTGGTAGTATTACGATTTCAATTCATTTTTTAGTTTTACTATTTTAGTAGTATTATGATTTTAATTCATTATTTTAATAGTATTATGATTTCTTATTTACTTTTCTTAGTAGAATTATGGTTATTAGCCTACTATAGATAGGTTTGTTATGTTTAAACTTATTCAATTAGATTTTCAATAAAATGTTCAACCAATTCAAGTGATACCTTTCCTTCTTCCTCTTGCAAATCAACCATGCCACCCAAAGTTAATACACAATCTCAATTGACTGAAAATATTCGTGTTGAGTTGTGCAAAATTAAAGAATCAAACCTCAACTTGAAGCAAAAAGATCTTGTGAAGCGGTTAGAAGATACTCATGGTCTTAAGGAATCATAAGCAGCAATATCTAAGATATCTGATGTCGATGAATTACAAGTTACAAATAAAGTGGATGAGGATAATAATAGAGTCAATACAAAATTGAGTGATTAGATTCGACAACTTCACTACACAATTAGACAAGAAGAAAAAAGAAATAATCTTGAGGACGATAATATGGAAATACAAAAAGTTTCATGCCAAGAAGCCTTAAACATGCTTGAAAAGCTAGAAATATTTTGGCTTCAACAAGAAGGTGTCCATGCTAGCGAGTTATTACATACTCTCAAGTTAAAAGATGTGGTAACAACTCTAAAACATGAATCATTATCCTAAACAATTTTAGATAAATATTTTACTTCATCTTAAATCCTTAATATAATATAACATATAATTTTTTTGCAATATACAAATAATTATTACTATATATGTGAAGGCAATTTTCTTAAGATAAGAATTAGAAAAATTATAATTTATTATAATGTGAAATTTGCTCTTATTTATAATTATCCCAAGTTGGGATTAGAATATTTTATGATTACATAAAGGTTATTTTTATATATAGTATTACTATAGAGATGTTTTACTGTACATATTTAACGATTTCAATTGTTTTAGAGTTTGTTATAATATTAAATACTAAATATTATTTTGAGTTTGAGTAATATTATTGTTAATGGCAAATTCGCACCAAACTGGGGTTGATTGTCTTGCCCTTCAGAACACAATGGCTTCACAATTCTGCCCTCGATCCATTGACTTCCTGCCTTTGACTATAGCGTCAATTTCTATCCCGATAAGAAAACTTGCGATCTGTTTGGTTCATTATTCTGATAGTTTTTAGAATAATCTTTTGAAAAAAGTTAAATTAGGCGGGTATTACGATGTAGGATTTAAAAATTAACAAAAATATCCCCTATGTTTGTTTATTTACTAAACACCCCTATAATAAAATATTAAAAGTTAACAAAAACACCCCTAACCCATCCATTAAATACGGATAGCCGACCACCACCGCTGGAGGGTGGCCGGATAGTTTTTGTAATTTCTAAAAAAAATTTTTGAGGGTGTTTAGTTAAATTAACAAATTTAAGAAGTTTAAAAGAAATTGAAAAATATAGAATAATATTTTGGAAATAATGACATTTTACTGTTTAACTTTTTTGGGAATACTAATAATAGTATTCCCAAAAGTGAAACAAACGAAACCTTGATTTTTACCTCGTAAGAAAACAACAAAGGCTTTTTGCGGGACTGTGAGGGTTAGAATAGGGATAGAGGCTAATAATGGCACAATGGCGACAGTCAGCTTCAATCCAGAATGCTCTAAGTGCAATTTTTGTATGAATATTGATTATATCATTAAGAAATAGAATAGGGTTTAAGAGAGTTACTTTCCTTGTCTCTATAGGATTTTAGGTTGCAGAAGGATTCTTGGAGTTTTAGGAGGATGTAGGATCCTTTTCCTTATTTGGATCATATCTTGTCACATTCATTTCCTATTCACCTTGATTCCCTATTTAATTGTAATTCTGTATCTTATATTGAAGGATATCCATTTGATATTTTACTTGATGGGCAAGTAATATCATATAGAGAATTTATCATTATGCCCTTAGGGAAATTCGGGTACCACAATTACATATTTTTTTAGTTTATATCTTGACTCAATAATAATTGATGCGAGCTTATTAGGAGGGAAAATTTTGCCGGCTGTCGTGCTAAAATTTTCTTATCCGAACTTAACTCGTTAACTTAATTTGTGGGGTCAAGTAAAATTTACATATCTTAAAATGGTTCACAACCCAGTAGAAAAATTGAATGTCACATTGGCTCAACAAGTTCAATAGAAAAGATAATGCTTAAAATCAATAGAAAACTTTAAAGATAATGCTTAGTAGAAAAGTGTTAACTGGTACATACACACTACATGAGCCCTTTGGACCTATCGCTAAAATGTGTATTTAAGGAATAAGACTTTCACAAAACAAAAAATTCGGTTGCTTCAAAGGAACCAATACATCCCAGATTTTTGTTAATACTCAAATTCCTATAAATTAGTGTTGTTAAACAAGGCAAATGCACATAGAATTTGGCCACAACAAGGCAATCGCACAACCAAGAAAGCGAACATAAAGAAGGAAGAAGTTTTTTATAGTGTAAATGTGTAACCTGTTAAAGACCTTCTCTTATGAAGATCCCCTGCAAATTCAAAACCAACATATTCTCTAAGCTCCTCACTATCCGCTCTAGCAATTTCATAGAGTACGTCAAAACAGTTTCTTCTAAAATAAATGAACCCATTTTACAGCTTGCCAGTAATATTTTCTAGACTTAGACATGAACCACTTCATCAAGCTTGCAGCAAAAACTGAATTCCGTAGAGTACAAAAAACTACCTATAACACTTGCATAAAGAATTTGTCTTCAACGACTCATCTAATTATAACTTAAAGTAAGCTACCAATGGTGACAAGACTAGTATACAACTTGCCACACCAAACTTCTCTAAGACGTTGTTGATATACTTCTCATGAGAAATAAACAATTTCCTGTTTTTCGGACACCTTTTAATTTCTTGTTTTTGGACACCTTTCAATTTCCATCCCTAAGATCTTCTTCGTAGCTTTCAAATTCTTCATCTCACGTCCCTTAATTGTTCTTCCAATTTTTAGACCTCTCCACTTCCAGTGGATACAATAACCATGTCTTTCACATATAGAAGCAAAAAGACTCCCACATGACTATCTATCACCTTTAAATAAACACAAACTAATGTTTCATACTTCTTCTATACTTATTCCTGGTCGTAAACTCATCATCAAACCTGAGATACAACTTTCGAGGTGACTACTTCCAGGCATTACACTACCTCACCTACATTACCTCTACTTTCACCATATCGATCTTCTACACAAATTGAGATTTCTTCTTCTTGGGAGATCCTTAACTTCTAGATGATCTCTGTCTTCTAGGAAAACACTCGAATTTCTTGAGAATCCACTCATTTGGTCTAGTGGTTTAGCTACAAGTACGCAGGACTCATTCAACAATGAGTCCACCATGGAACCCAACCACTAAGATTCCTTTCTACAGCTCACCGCCTCTTTAAAGCTTTCAGGTCCATCTTCATCCATCTCTTTAGCAAAAGACAATGCACATGAAATGAGATCTGCATGACCATACCTCAGAGTCGTTTCAAAAGTCTTCATTGTTCTATCTTTGAGCACTTGGTATGTTTCCATGTGAATCTGCCCAAACTCTACTTGATCCTCAACATCTGCTCTTTTTGTGGTTTATGGAATATCAAGCTACCTTGAATTCAAGCTATCTCGGAGCTCCACCTCAAATTTAGCTTATTCATCAGCTTTTCCAACCAACACATGATGAACAATTTTAGTTCCTTGTAAGTGCACAAATCGATATCCTAGTATGCACGGGTCAATCCCAAAGAGATTTGTAAACACTCAATTAATCCTAATATAACATGCCTTAATTAAACTAATAAATTCAAGTAAAATTGAAGAACTGATAACTAAAATAAAAATAAACTAACACTAAATAAACTATCAGAAAACCAATATTCAATTGAATTAAAAACCAATGAACCAAAACATAGATATTCAATTTCACTATAATAATCCAATTTTATATCAATAATCAATCCATTGTTATCTCAATCCAATTTCAAGGGTTTCTACTTCCATTATTAAGGTATTATCATTTGGCGTCTGGATTTAACCTAGTATCTTTAACACTAAACTGACTAGGGCATGTAGTCTAATAATTAAAAACCCATTAAGAACAAGAAGCAGTTGTAACAAAGAACCAATTTGCATTCAACAAGGTGTGTGCACAAATACAAATCATTCATTCAAAAGAGCTATTCAAAGTTGGCATATAGCGTCTACCTAACCTTGTCTCACACAATCAATTAATTAACATTAAAGGTGGTCAAATAATAATATCAATTAAACAATCAATCATTTTTATTCCGCATTAATTTTTTAATCTCCTATTCACCCCCCCACTAGGAGCATTTGTCATATTAGTGTTTTACAATAAGGGTAGAGGGATGGCATGGGGTGGGAGGAGGTGGGGCATGCGAGGCTTTTTTTTTTTTAATTGTTAGCTTGCACTAGTAAAATTGGAAAACAAAATCATAGCAAGTGATATAAGAAAATACTGTTATATATTTTTTTCTTTTGGATGGATAAAAGTTCCTATGTATATATTTTCTTTATTTTAGTGTTTATCAGTAAAGAAAAAAATATTTTTTAAAAAGGTTAATAACAATAATCCCCCTTAGGTATAATTAAACAACAAAGTCCCCTTGTAGTTATAATAATAACATAAATCCCCCAACTGTTAAGTTGTGTTAAAAGTAAATGACAGATGGGCAATTAGTTAAATATTCATTAACCGGTCATATTATAATTTCTAACGACACACTAATGGCTCACTAACGATAGGGGAATTTATGTTACTTTGTATGGATGACTTTGTATAAATCTTTGTAAGTGTAGTATTACTCAAACTAAAATATGTTTGGACACTTGATCCAATTGTGGAACAGTTATAAACTTAAGAGTTTCATTACGAACCTAGTGATAAGTAGTTTAGCATTTGAGTTAGCGTGTGATACTCTCTTCCCTTCAATCTATTTGTATTAGTTTGAAAGAATTAGTTTGTTCTTTCATATTCTAAAGCTATTTCATTTCGGTTTGTTTGATATTATAATTATAATATCAAAGATTAAACATGAATTTACCAATTATATGAGTATTATACTTTTAAAATTATGTCATATATTATTTTATAGGAATGATTTTTCTTATTTTAATTAAAAAATTTATACAAAAATATTCTATATATATATTAGCACATCTTAGTAATTAATGTTACATTTTATTCTTTGAATTTTTAGGCGATGCATTTAAATGAGTTGTACAAGAATCAATGCCATTAACCAAATACCTGCAGGCAGCCAAAATTTCTTTAAAGGCACACAAGCTCTTATCGCTGGTTCTAAGGAAATGCGGAATTCCCTAACTGGCAGGAACAACATTTTGAAGCAATAACTCTAAGTCCTTCAATCTGCAGAGACAAGGATAAGCTTTTGAAGAATGTCAACTGAAAAGTAACAATATGTACCGCTGATAAATTTTCGGAAACCTTACCTTACATTACTCAAATCAGGGTAGATTGCTATAGCATCTTTGAAATCCTGTATTTAATTAAAAATAGGATCGTTATCTCTCGAGGCGATCTTGTGTTTATTGTTTGAACACGTATTTATGATCATCTCTGTGGGAGGGTAAGGCCTCACCTGGTCTGCCGTTGACGATGTGTAGGTAATCACACATGACATTCCAGCACTTGTTGCTGCCTGCAGAAATGAACTTGCTTCACTTTAGAGGTTAAATATGGTTAATGAACTTGTTTTTAATGTGCAACTGGCCAACAAAACTGAGAGATGATAAAATTGAAGCTAAGACTTGAAATTTGTGATTGAATGGCCAATTAATTACATATAAGTACTCATTAGTGTTTCTAAAATCATGATCTGCTCAAAGTGATATAGAAACTGAAAAGAGGATTCTCCAAGGTTTTAAATGGCCGCAAATAAATAATGTAATCCAACAAATAGATTACTTACTTGCAACCCTATGACACTGTCCTCAACCACCAAACAGTCTTTCTCTGACACGCCTAATCTCTGCAAGGAATATAAATTTTAAGATCAATTTACAATAAACACCAAGTGGTATGCAGAACTCTATGGTTTCATCGAACAAGTTGTAGTTCATACTATTGTTACATTAACTACCTTAGCTGCTGTCACATAAATAGACGGATCAGGCTTCTTTTGTTTTACATCATCACCTGCAAGTACAGAAGCAAAACAAGGCTAATATATGAGGTCAAAATCATTAAGAATAAAATCAAACAAAAAAAAAAATTGGATCAAACAGAAAGCAACAACCTTAAAGGGAGCTAATCTGGAAATGAAATATGAAAGGATGTAGCATATGTGAACTCAGTTTGTGGATGTACAAGTTTGTAGAAGGTTAATTTAAAAGAAATTGAAACAAAAATCATTTGGCATCAATGTGCTATAGTCCGTATGTCATCACGACATGAGACTTCACAGTCTCAAGCGCACCAAATAATATTATATGCCCGCCAGGTTCAGAAGCTATAAGGGGTAAACTACTTAGATAAAGCATTCATACTGTCAGCAAGAGTATGCCACATCTTTTAGCAAACTACATAGCTACATTACATTTCAAATTTAATCGACTAACCCGCGAGGAAGCAATCAAGACCTTGAAACCGCTCCTGTAACAAGGAACATATAACAAATGAACAAACATTTGTGGATGAAAAACACCTCCATTTCATATAGCTAGCGAAAGAATTTACCATTCCTATAAGGTTTTCAAGACAAAGAATAACTGAACTTTTAGTTGCTGCAGAACAAACAGCCAGTTTTTTTCCCTGTGATAGCAAGCAGGAAAAAAGAAATGACTACAAGAAGAATATATTAAATATGAAACTGTGATTAAAAAACAGAATAAAAGCTATTAAATCACAAATTATCATCACAAAATAGAAAAATGTAATAAAAGATCTTAGAAGAAAGAAACAGAAACCACATAGTCCAACTAACAGATGATGAGAACATGAAGACTGACTAATTTCAAAGTACCATGATACAACAATTGAATAATAACAATAAAGTATTATCTTACATTGGCCCTTGCTTCATCCATCAATCTAAGAACTCCAGGTCTAGGCTCCACCTGGTCAAAATGCCATCACACCAGCAAATACTCAATCAATACACAACAAAATCCACAATGAAAAAGAAAATCTGTATAAAAGTAATTTAAAATTCTCCTTACAGTTCCAGATTTGATAATTTGTTTGTATCTTTCAGTTTTCCAGTCCTACAAAACCACAGTTGTATACAAAACACTCTTTAGTAACTAAAATTCAATATCTATAAATCAATTGACAACAATAAGCATACACATAAATTAAGAACTACTAACCCAAACAGTAACTGAAAACCGACGCTTATTTGTTGTACCTGAAGTGTATCAATCAATTTGCTTCGGTCGTCATCGTTTTCTGGGGGCTTCTCGCATATGGTTGAAGATGGCCATCCATTCTCCTTAAAGTACCTTAAAATACCCAAAAACCAATCAGCAGAAAGTTAAGATAGAAGAAATGAAATGAATACAGTTTGCTGAGAAAAAGACCATCTCATTTTTGGTTTGCCACCACCAATTTGATTCTGTAGCACATCATAAAACTCAGAGCCCCAGTTGAGGGGTTGCTGAGAAGAAGAGTCGCAACGGACGTTGAAGTGAGAAAAGGCATCGTTGTAAGCTTGGCGATGTAAGTGTTCGGATTCAAGAATGACTCCATCGCAGTCAAAAATGAGAGCTTGAAGAGACTGTGAAGAAGCTGAGACTGAAAATGTTTTTGTAGATAAAGATAGAGATTTTCTGTAGGGTTTGAAAGAGAGAGATTGGTCTGTAAAGAGAGGATTAAGAGTAAGAGAAGAAGTTTTGGTAGAAGAAAAGAATGCAAGAGAGTAGTTTGAGAGAGGATCATCAGAGAGGCCATGAGTTTGTTTGTGTAGAAATTTTATGTGGATTGTGTGTGTGTTTTTCAGTGAGTCAGATGTGGCGGGTTAAACTTGTGTGGTGGTAGGCGACTGAGGTAGTTAAAACGGATTTGAAGACCGTTGAGAAGCAAAGCAGCTTCAACTCGGCTTATGTCAGCGTTGTCATGTTGGGCTCTAGACCACCTTGTTCAGATACACAACCTTTTATGTTAAATTGAGACATGATCCAAATCCAATAGCTAAAACAGGTGAAACTACTTATCAGAATTGTAGTTATCATGAATAATGATACTCACAAAGTATGGTTTTAAACCATGGGTTAACTTCTTTCACCCTGAGAAGATAGTTAAGATTCTACATGTGTTAGTTTCATTTCTCTTGAGCAATGTATTAGATACTTCCCCAAATTATCAAAAACCAACACTTAAATATAATTAAACCCCTTCAAGATTTAAAAAAAAAAAAAAAAAAAAAAAAAAAAAAAAAAAAAAAAATCCCTTATAGATATCAAAAAACACCCTACACATATATTAAGAATACCCCATGATCAAGAGTATTGCTGTGGCAACTTAACTATCTCTCACGAGAATAAATCAAACAAACCCTTCACGAGAGTGAATGAAATAAACCCTTTAAACCTCTAATTTAGTAGAGCAACTCTACCATGATCATATGAATGTCAAAAGGAGTTTATTTCAGCTCATCCCCTCTATTGTTTACACTTTTTCAAAAATTCAGTAAATTAATTTAGTCTCGCATGATATGATGTCCAAAGATCCAACTTCGAAAGAAAAGGCACTTCATGATCCAGCATATAATATATACCATCAGTCTTGTCTTCCAAAAATTATGCAATTATTTTGGATAAAGACTAAATTCTTACAATTGTAAAACATATTCTAAAAATGCAAGACTTGAGATAAATTTCAAGTTCAATCACAGTACAGCAGTATATAGGTCTTAATCCTAACTCTTGGAGTGAAGCTAGATACCAAGAGCATAAACAATACATCGACATGAAGTATTTGATCTTTCAATCAAGAGTATTAACCCATGTCGTGCATATAATAAGCCTGAACCAATACCGTAGAACCATTGTGGAACGTCTTACAATGAAACCTTCTTTTGGTTCAAGCCTGGAAAATATTTAAGACAGAAAAAGATACCTACTCCACAAGAACCATTTTAAGATTTATGCCAATATGTGTCCCTCACATTCAACAACCATGCTTTTTCCTCTTTTTCTTCATTTGCAAGCAATTCTGTCAAGCTGTCACAGTTAAAATTTCTCATTCCAGGCTCAGCCAGTCAATCCAACGCTTAACTCTTTCCTTACGCCTGTGCATGAAGAAAATCTACAGAAAATTGAGCTTTGAAAGGTAAAGCCCTGAATAACATCATACTCTTCCATATCCACTTCATATCTTGTTTTAAGTTAATGAAAACAACTATATCAGCCGTTCTGAAGTGGTTACAGCAGAGGCATCTTGAGCGATGATTTAAAAGCAGAAATCGATAATTAAGCGAGTATTAATAAAATGTATCTAACACCTAGCAATCTTACAACCTGGCTACAAAGTTGTGCCTCCACCATCTGACATAAGAGATGCAGCGGCGGCAGCAGCAGTGGCAACAACCCCTGTTGAAACACCTGGTTTTGACAAATGTAGAAGCCTGCAAAGCAAAAGCAAGAAGATTACATATTAGTTCTTAAATAGAATCAATAGTGAACCAAGTTTCATGAAATACAACTTCGACCTTCATTTGATTCTGAACATAATTAATCGTACCAATATAATCATAACTATGTATTCAAAATATTTTAATACATGCAGCAGTATTATACATTTATTTATACAGCCTTACAAGCATGACTAACCAGTCAAGCCTTTCTGATATCCACAACAGTTGGATCACAAGGTAACTTGATGTGAAGCACAGGATATAGCACAGTGACAAGTTTCAAGCACAGAAATTTTAATTTTTGGCATATGACATACAATTGGATTACTCAAAACTAGTCATAACAGGATTTCTAAATATGTCTTGAGAATGAACAAAAGTTCTTACGGTGCAAGATATTCGCAAAATGATGACATTGCAGCAGCCACTTCAGTATAATTTTCAGAGGTTGCAGGTGCTGTCACTTCAACTACTTGTATTCCAGGAGTCACTGGCACAGCCTCATCGGTTGCATGTAATTTTAGCATCTTATTAATAGATGACACAGTAACTGTAATCTGAGCACCCCTTAAAAAATGGAAGGCAAAGCCCACTCTCAGCAGCTCATGATCCAACTTGTAGCCAAGTGCATAGAATAGACGAAGCACATTCTTGCTTACTTTGCTTTCCACCGTAGTTCTTACAAGAACAGAGATTTGCTCTGCACCAGCACCCCTCATTGCACCCCCAACATGTTTAACAGTCCTACAGCACAAATAAAATTTCTCAACCACATAAAACACACGAAATTTTACACCTAAAAGAAAAAATTCCAATTTTTACCACATGGGTTCAGTCTGCTCAAGATCACATAAGAGTCTAATCTCTGAAGCAACATTCCCTGGAAAATGAAGTTCATGAGCTTACATGTCAGCAAAAAGTAAAATGACCAGATTATATATAATCAGCACTAGGCTTTCTGAGTGAAAATATAGATATGGGAGTTGAAAATGTCTCTAAATATGAAGTACCATTAGGTTACGTATAATGAGAAGTATTAAACATGTAATCTAACATATATCCATGTAATATTTGGATGAATAAGGTTTATGATGATCATTCTATATATCCAGTAAGCAAAGCATGATTGATGATAAAATATCTGATGCATTCTAGGTTATAGTCATAAATTTAGCTTCCGAAAAACTCAACTGGTTAATTAAACTAACGAGAAAATCAGGGTAACTGGTTAATGTGAACTTAATGTGAGAGTCAAATGCGAAATAAGAATGAATCAATGAATAAGATGGGGTGACAATCTTATTTTTCTTCTTCAACAGCAATATAATTGTAAAATATATAAAAAGAGAATTGGCTAAAAGAAGACTGCCAGTTATTTGAGCCGGCAATTGTGTATAGCACCAAAATAAGATTCTAGATGAGTCAATATTAAAACCATACAAGTTTCATCTTCATCCTAATTTACCCATGCTCTAAAATTTTGTGCATCATCCTTCTATGAAGCTTAAATTACAGAAGATCTAAATACTTACCAAGGTTGGGAGAATTTTTTAAGCAAATTTCATGGATCCTCAAGCGTTCTCTATGAACACCACATAGTCCCTGAAGAAGAATCTCAAGGGCCTCCACATGCTGCAAGATAAGAACTATATATTAAAGAAATTCCTACCAACACCATCTTCACATAAATAAAAAGAAAAGAAAAAATTTATGTTTTTTTTTTTTTTTCCCTTTTGTCTTTAGAAAGGAAGAAAATAAGTTTATCAGGTGAGAAACAGAAGAAAAAAACGAAACTGATTATCATAAATGATATTTTTGAGCATGTAATGACTAATTGAGCTAATGTTTTTACATCATTTCTACCCTAATGACAAAATCAATTGAGACCAATAAGTACCAAGTGTGACCGGGCAATGGAAACATAAGATACTAAACGAAGTAGTTAACTAAGACAAACAGCAAGACAGCATAGCAATACTGAGCCAAACTTCAAAAATCAAAAGATTAAGTACTTTGGATTTGAAAACATTAATGAACTACAATGTGGGTTGCTAAAACATCTCAAGGTTTGTTAAAGCTTGACAAATGAATCAAAAACTTACTTTTGTACATACATCTAATGAACATGTGCTTGGAAGCACTCAAGTCCATGACATACACACATTTAGACATAATGACCAAGCATTATAAAGCAGTAGCAGAAACTACACTATTGAGTACCTCTCACCAAAGAGTCCGGCAAGTACAACTTAGTCCATAATAATTGTACAGTATTATTTGGTAAAATTCTGACACAACTAAATTAAACACCAAGATTGAAAAATAAGCAAACTCTATCCCAATGAAACAGTCAACATACAAGGAAAAGAAACATGGAAATGGCAGTGCCAATTTTTAAAAGCTCCCACTCTTTTTATCACTTAATTTCTAAAGTCCACAAAATCTTAAAGTAAAGCATAATACCCAACAGCATATATGACATAAATTAGACTTGGTTTTGTGTCCCAATATAACAATAAAAGTTTCATATCACTGTAATCATTTTTGAGAAATATCTCAGTTTTGAAAATCAGTAGTCAAATTTCATTCAAAAATCAACACCGACACCATTTTCTCCCACGCTACTAATTCTCCTTAGTCCACTTCAGATAGGGTACCACAATCAAACTCACACAAACAAAACTAAAAGCAAGATGGGCCGTCCTCAATAAATTTAACACTCAAAAATCTTACCATTGTGCAATTGTGTGTGCATATATATATATTAGAATCTGCATGATTTAAATAAAGCTAAAAAACATTCTCTGTGTTTATGTAACTTACCTGTGTCTCTATAATTCCTTGCACGATGCACTCCATCAAAATAAACTTTTAGTTCATCTCAAAAGTTTTTGATGCACATAGAGCCTGAATTGCCAAAGACAATAGACATTTTGAGCAACAGTATTTATCAAACAACTGAAATCAAACAAGAACAAAATAAAAATAAAACAAAGAAAATAAAAATAAAACAGTGGGGTTTCCCTAAGGCTCAACCTCATTTTTGGCTCAGCACAAACAAGCCCCACTATGTTAAGTTTCATAATAATTCATTGAACAAAGAGTCCACAAGAATGCATATTTTCATCTATAACATAGCAATATAAAATCAACTGTATTAAGTCCTAATTTGGTCCAGAATTTGTAAATGAAAAAAACAACTAAATTTAGATGGATCAAATCAGAGAACTAAAAGGCTTTAGAAAACACTATTCAAATAAATTCAAAACATGGATTCTAATAAAAACCCAATTAAGTTGAGTTAAAACCCTCGAAAATCAAATAAAACACAAAGATATAAATGAATAGAAATTAAAGAAATAACAGTTAGTCTAGAGGTGGAACCTGTGACGAACGACGCACAACTATCGGGAATTTAGGGAGATGACGACGTCGTTTCTGTTGTGACTTGTTCTACCAAACGCCGATTCTGGCAGTGGCCAAGCAAGTTTAGTGAGGATGATCGGAGTAATGAGCAAACCTTTACTAGTTTTCTGTAATTTAATGCAACATTAAGGGTAACACAGTCTTATTTCCGGCATGGGTGGGTGGGACTATTTTATTTTTAAAATTCGGAAACTTGAATTTAAACCAAAGCTGCAAACGAACCGAGCTGTTCGCCAACGGCTCGATGTTTGCTCGATAAATGTTTGATTCGACTTGATAATAAATTATTCGTAAATAGTTTGATATTCGTTTGATAATATGTTTGATTCGAATTTGAACATAGAATGTTCGTTTGATTATGTTCGCAAACATACTGCGTTCGACTAATTCATCCGTTCACGAACAATCTATTCAATTATTCGTTCATTTATGTTCTAAAAACATGGTATATATTATTATATATATTTATATTTTTTCTTTTTTATATTATGTTTGGTTTAGTTTTGATGAATTTTTTTTAATAGTAATCAATAATAAAATATTATGATGCTTTTGTTTTTCTTATATATATACAGTAGAACATTTTTATAGTCATAATGTTGGGATCAACTAAATTTATTATTATGAGGAGGTTATAACTTAATAGAGGTGTAGTTACAAGAATTATTGTTTTGATTTCTTATTTTATAATTCATGTTTCAAGAGTACAAATAAATTGAGTGAACAAATTCAACAATTTCACTACACTAATTAAATGGATATTAATGTCTTCCTTAATCATCCAAATGAGTAACAAGTTGTGTATGTTTTAACGGAAGAAGAAATTATCATTGGAATTAGACAAGAAGAGGAAGAAGATAATATTGAGGATGATAGTACGAAAATACCAAAAATTTCGTGTCAAGAAACTCTAAACATACTTAAGAAGCTATAAATATTTAAGCTTCAACAATAAGGTGTCCATGCTGATGACTTATTACATATCCGTAAGATAAAAGATATAATAACAACTATAAAACATAAATTACTGTCTCAAATAACTTTAGATAAATATTGTATTTCATCTTAAACCTTTAATGTAACATAGCATATGTTTTTTTTTTTTTTTTTTTTTTTTTTAATATACATATAATTATTACTATGCAGAGGCAAGTTCTTTAAAACGGGACCTAGAAAAATTATAACTTATTACAATGTGAAATTTATTCTTATTTATAGCTGACCCAAGTTAGGACCATAATTTTTTATGATTATATAGAGATTATTCCTATATAGAGTATTACTATAGAGAGATTCTACTATAATATATTTGAATTTTTTTTTTCAAATGTCATCAATAATTAAATATATAAGTATATAGTATTTTAATTAAAAAATAATAAATTATTATGATACATAGCATGACAAATTTAATAATATAATAGATTGTATAATCAAGTAATATATAACATAACAAATCTAATAACATAATGCCTTCATATTTTTCCAAATGTAATCAATAATTAAATATTACGAAATAACATTTCAATTAATAAATAATAAATATAGTATGGTAAATTGATAAACATAACATATTGTATAATCAAGTGATATATAACATGACAAATTTAATAACATAATAGCTTAATTAAATATAGTATGGTAAATTGATGAACATTACATATTGTACAATCAAGTGATATATAGCATAACAAATTTAATAATATAATAGCTTAATTAAATATAATATGGCAAATTTATGAACATAACATATTGTATAACAAGTGATATAGAACATGACAAATTTAATAACATAATAACTTAATTAAACATAAATTAATCACACATTTGTATTGATCATATATTACAATAGACCCTCATACCATTGTGAATTTATAGGTGTTGATACAAAATACATATGCAGACAGTAATGATAATATATATATATATATATAACAAATTGATCACACATATGTATTGATCATATATTATAATAAACCCCAATTCCATTATGAATTTATGGGTGTTGATACAAAATATATATGTAGATATTTAAAATATTTATGATAATTTATGTAATGATAATGTATATATGATAACCTATAATTTTGGTAATTTAATAATATATTAAACATATTTAATCTATGATTAATATATGTATGATAATAATTTTTTTTTTTGTATATATATATAACCCAATAACCAACAAATTAACCCGGCCCAACCAAATTTTTCAAACAAAAATCCAAACCCAATTCCATATTTTCCCTTACCCGGCCCAAAATCCAAATCCAATTCAGTCACAACCGTAATTTGGTTAATTGAACGAATTCGAACAGCCATAAGTTATTCGAACAGATATTTACAAGCTATACGAACGAGTTAATCGAATCATCACGAACTGCTCGTTTGGTTAATCGAATGAACTCGAATAGCCATTCTGTGTTCGTTCGAGTTTGAACACGATTTTGAACACCCCTTTGTGCTTATCAAACGAGTTTCGAATGAGGGCGTTCGTTCGTGTTCGATTCATTTGCTGGCCTAATTTGAACAAATAACGGAATAAGTTGGAAAGTATGCGTTTATTTTTTTTTATTTGTTTATTTTTTGTATATCCATTTCTTGTATTTTTAAAAATATTAAATATATTGGAACTGTGTAGAATAAAAAGACATTCAGTATTTTAGTCTAAAATTAATATTTAAAAACGTTAAAAATGAAAACGTGTTGGTTTGAAAACACGAATAAAAGAATAAAAATGTAAAATTTATTATCTACCCAACAGAAATAATCTTTTCAAAATACCATTTATTTTATTCATCTTGAAAACTTTGTCTTACATATATACATTTTTTTTATTCTCATTCGTAGTTTTGCGTTAAAAATCTTTATTTAAAATGAAAGATTTTATTTTAAGAAAGAGAAAAGAAAATATAAAAAGATAAAGAGACTTTTTTAGTCAAAATTTTAAATTTTTATATAAAAAGTCAATAATATTCTCTCTCCTTATCACCGATTTCTCATTTTAATTGAGAGGACAAAAGGACATCTAAAGAAAGACGAGTATGCCTAAGAGTAGGGGTGAGCAGGGTAGCGGGTGAACCAGAACCGAGGATAAGAACCGGAACCGGAACCGAAACTACCCAGAACCTGCACTGTGCGGATAGGTTCGGTTCCAATTTTTGGAACCCTACTGCGGTTCGGTCCGGTTCTGCAGTGGAGGAACCGGAACCTGTAAAAAGGGTACCGTTTAGAACCTATAGGGGTACCCGGTTGGAACCGTTTTGGAACCTGTTTGGAACCTGTTTTGGAACCTATTTGAAACCTGCTTTGGAACCTGTTTAGAACCTGTTTGGAACCTGTTTTGGAACCTATTTGAAACCTGTGGAACCTGCTTGGAATCTGTTTTGGAACCTGTTTTGGAACCTGTTTAGAGCCTATTTTGGAACTGGACTATAATGAAATATTTGTGAAATATAAAATGGGGGAGTTTCTATTTTTACATATAAAAAAATTAAAATAGAAAAAAGTTAATTTTTAGAATAACCTAATTAATAAATATACGAATACAATTATACTTATTCATATAAATTACACCATATTAAAAGCTTTATATATTATAATACATTAATATTAAAGCTAAACCCTAAACCCTAAACCTAAACCCCCGGGAGGAGATAATAAAATTCAACAAATTCACCAACTTTAGGAAATTCAACATCAACTTTAACATCAACTTCAAAACCCCTTTATTCACAAAAATATGTTAAACCATTTTTAGACCCTTTGACATTCCAAGAGAAGAAATTATAAACTCAATAATCACAATACTATTTTAGAAAATTAGTAAAAAACTTAGTGAATTATCATCCTCTAAATCAAACATAATGTCCTACCGAATCCGACCCAATAGAAGAATTAAATAAAAATTTTCAAAACTTATCTATTAATAAAATGAGAAATAATATGAGAATCCTAAAACTCGAAACTATTATCCAAGACCTTCTTTGCCAGATATGCAATATGAAGATAATCACAACTAGCAAGATCTTCTACACTGGAACCGGAATAGATGAATGGAATATAGACGGATTAGCTGAACATCAATATTAATATTTTACAAGAAATGACTATGGCAGCATTAGCTCATAAATCACATGACAACACTGACCATCAAATCGCAAAAATATGAGTCTCAGGATTTACAGGAATGTTAAAAAATTGGTGGGATAATGATTTACCAGAATCACATAAACATCAACATATACACGCAACAAAAAAGACTAGGAAAGTCAAATAGAAGGTACTAGGCAAGTAGAATATGAACATGATGAAGGAGATGCTGTAGCCACATTAATTTATGCAATAACCAAAAACTTTGTAGGAGACCCAACAGCTTTCAGAAAAAATCACAAGAAATATTAGCTAACTTAAGATGTCCAAACTATGGCAGATTTTAGATGGTATAAAGATATGTTTTTACAAAAGTATTCACAAGAACAGACTGTAGGAAACCTATTGGAAAGAAAGGTTCCTGGTCTACCTAGATTATTTAGTCAAACTGTCAAGAATGCATTATACAAAAAGCACGATGGCAATATACCTTATGAAGATTTAACCTACGGAGATTTAATTAGTTTTATTAACAACGAAGCTTTAATAATTTGCACTGATTTAAAATTAAAAGCTAAATTAAAAATGAATTAAAACATAAGAAAACAGAATTAAGTGGATTTTGTAGTCAATATGGTTATGAAAAATATTACCCCCCTCTATTAAGTACAAAAAAGATAAAAAACAGAAAAAATATAGAAAACCTATTATAAAAGAGATTACAAATATGAACAAAAATCTTATGACAAACCTTATAAAAAGAAAAAATCTCTAACAAGAAAATATCAAAAAACCCTATCACCTGTTGGAAATGTAAACAACAAGGTCATTACGCAACTAAGTGTCCTATGAAAAATCAAATCAAAAAATTAGAAATAGATTCAGAATTAAAAC